CTCAATGCTCCAACATCCACAAACGGCAACTGCTATCACAGCTTGAGATCGATGAGGTACAACACATGTATGATGCCACAGTTGCCGAGGTCAGAGGGGAGATCCCACCAACTGCAACTCCCCAACCAGATATTGGGTACATAGCCCCAATGGAACCGATAACGCTGAACGAGGCAGCGACTGACCTGAAAGCTAAGATCATGGCTAGAATGGGCACAGGGCAAAGATACCGGTTACAGCGGTTGTGTGAAGTACCACCTAAGGATCTCATAGAAAGCGTGAATGCAGCAGTGAGGGCAATACCTACCACCACAATCACTGAAACCAATGAGCTGATATTCACTTCAGCAGCGGTGATCCTAGAGATGCTTGGCTATAAGAGCAACCATGGGAGCCATGGACAATACCCACCATGGAAAAGACGGTTGGAGGCTAAGATTAAGGCGGCTCGGAGAGAAGTGAGTCAATTAACAGAGGCCCAGAGAGGTGCAATGAAAAGACCAGTACCCAGAAAGTACAGCCAGATGACCATACCTGAAGCACTCGAAACTGCCAAACAAAGGCTCCAAGCCCTGGCCAGCCGCCTACAGAGGTACACTAAAGAGAATGAAGCCAGAAGGGTGAACAGGCTGTTCGCAACACAACCTGCGAAGGTGTACGCTCAGTGGCAGGGTAACAACAAGGGAGCAGATCCACCGAGGCTGGAAACTGAACAGTTCTGGAAGAACATATGGGAGAAGGATGCAGCACATAACAGAAGTGCACAATGGCTGGTCTCCCTGAGAGAGGAGCACAGCCACCTCCCAGAACAGAACTCAGTTACCATCACAGAGGCAGACATCCGAGAAAGAGTCTCAGGTATGAAAAACTGGACGGCACCTGGCCCTGATATGGTCCATGCCTACTGGCTAAGGACACTCACATCACTCCATGAGCGCCTAGCAGCACAAATGAACCAGTTGCTGAGAGATGGGACTCACCCAGAATGGCTAACCGAAGGGCGAACGGTCTGAACAGAACTACTGTTCTGCATAGGCCTCAACCCTCTAAGCCAAGTAATTGACCAGACTGGCTATGGATACCGCCTCAGGAATGGAGCAAAGATCAGTCACCTCCTCTACATGGATGACATCAAGCTGTACGCCAAGAGCGAGAGAGACATCGACTCTCTGATCCAAACAACCAGGATCTACAGCCATGACATCGGGATGTCATTCGGGCTCGAGAAATGTAGCAGGATGGTGACTCGGAGAGGCAAGGTAGTCCACACAGAAGGGATCTCACTCCCAGAGGGAACAATAGCAGACGTTGAGGACAGTTACAAGTATCTCGGTATACCACAGGCAAATGGCAACCTCGAACAGGTGACGAGGAAAGCGGCAACTGCCAAATACCTCCAGCGAGTAAGGCAGGTCCTAAGAAGCCGGCTCAATGGCAAGAACAAGGCCCGGGCAATTAACAGCTACGCCTTGCCAGTGATCAGATACCCTGCAGGAATAATCAGGTGGCCAAAGGAAGAGATTCAGACCACGGATGTTAAAACTCGAAAGCTCCTTACCATGCATGGCGGGTTCCATCCCAAATCCAGCATCCTGAGACTGTACGCAAGCCGTAAAGAAGGAGGCCGAGGACTAGTGAGTGTGAGAGCCACTGTCCAGGACGAAACATCCAAACTCCATAACTACATCATGGAGAAGGCCAAAACGGATGACGTACTCAGTGAATGTCTCAGGCAGTGGCGAGATGAGGAGGTGCTGGAGAAGAGCCCATCATGGGAGAACAAGCCCCTACACGGCATGTACCACCGGAGCATAACAGAAGTGGCTGATCTCAAGAAGTCCTACCAATGGCTAGAAAGGGCTGGCCTACAGGACAGCACAGAGGCACTCATCATGGCTGCACAGGAGCAGGCCCTGAGCACCAGAGCGATAGAGGCCCAGATATACCACACCAGACAAGACCCAAGGTGTCGGTTGTGCAAAGAGGCACCTGAGACGATCCAACACATAACTGCAGGGTGCAAGATGCTGGCAGGGAAGGCCTACATGGAACGCCATAACCAAGTGGCTGGCATAGTGTACAGAAACATCTGTGCAGAGTATGGGCTGGAAACCCCAAGGTCTAAATGGGAAACTCCTCCAAAGGTGGTGGAGAATGAGCGTGCAAAGATCCTGTGGGACTTCCAGATACAGACCGACCGAATGGTAATGGCGAACCAACCTGACATTGTGGTGGTAGACAAAGGGCAGAGGACAGCCGTGGTGGTGGACGTGGCAATTCCAAGCGATGGTAACATCCGGAAAAAAGAACATGAAAAGCTTGAGAAATACCAAGGTCTCAGAGAGGAGCTGGAGAGGGCCTGGAGGGTAAAGGTGACAGCAGTGCCTGTGGTGATCGGTGCACTCGGGGCAATGACCCCGAAGCTAGATGAGTGGTTACAGCGGATCCCCGGAACAACCTCGGACATCTCGGTCCAGAAATGTGAAGTGCTAGGAACAGCAAAGATACTGCGCAGAACCCTCAAGCTCCCAGGCCTCTGGTAGAGGACCCGAGCTTAGAGAGGGATAACCGCCCGCGGAGGGCCAAAGGTGAGTGGACAATTTTTTTTTTTATATATATATGTGTGTGTGTATATATATATATATATATATATATATATATATATATATATATATATATATATATATATGTATGTATATATATATATATATACATATATGTACATATGTATAAAGTGCTCATGTTATATACGTGTTTTAAATATGTGTGATAATTTGGTGCTGAGCAAGCTCTAATGATGTGGTGTAAAAGTCTAAATTACTATTCACAGTATTAATTTAAGTATAAATATATCTGACATTCTACCTTTTCTGACTATTATTTACAATAACAAAGTCTTCCTAAGATTAGATTCCATGATTGAGTTTGTCCATTATAGGGCCCTTATTTTGCCCATTATCATCAAAAATGGGGTGACAGTGGCTCAGTTGGTAGAGCATTGGCCTTTGAGCCTGAAGGTCGTGGGTTCGAGCCCACCGTAAGACCTACTTCATGACTCCCACTGATGACTGCTGTTGTTGTGTCCTTAGGCAAGACACTTAAACCCACTTTGCCTGAAGCTCCCATTGAAAGATCTCAGCTCCTGTGGACTCACCACCTGCAGGAGGATCAGTGAGGGGATAGTGCTCTGTGTACTAGGTGGCATCTCTGGCCACCCCCCGACCCAGAAATGGATTAAGGGGAAGAAAATGGATGGATCATCAAAAATATTTTTTCTCTAACTTATAGGATCAACCAATCACAGCGTCTGAAATTATGACTCATACCTAGCAACGGGGTCGGCAACGCCTCCTCACTAAGATAAGAGTTGTCGTCCATTCCTTGCTCAGAGTTCTCTAAGAGTGTTCTGGAATAACTTTTAAGCTAAGACTCCTAGCTAGGAGTGTTTAGGTTAAGTTAGGAGCTTTCTGAGAGGACTCTTAGAATCTTTAGGCATACGGCCCCTGAATCACAAACAGAGATTGCGTTGCCAAAGGGCAGTGGTCATTATCGGTTTGAGAGTTCTGTTATCAAGAAAAAATTATCGGTAGAACGTTTTGAAATTACATTCACGTCAATGGAGTGTTCTACTGCTGCTGTGAGGAGCTGTATAATAAATTATGATTAAATATTGGAAAATATTCTAATGTTTAAATTAATACATTCAGACGCGAAACTAGCTGTATTATTTTACTTATATATTGTGTTAGCAGTGCGTTGCTTTTGTACCATTTCATCAGTGATTGTTGCACAGCTTACAAGAATGTTAATGTTAGCATACATATCAGATCGCAAATTTAACAAGATGGCTCTGTGGGATGAGAGCGTAGGGGAAATGAGAAGCCATTGAGCGAGTTGGGGGGCGGTGCTAAACATTCAAACCTTGCAGAAACGGGTATAGCTCCTTGAAGAACAGTTTGTGAATGAGGCCCATTGTTTCTATAATAGTTATGAATGTAATGAGTGAGTGAGTGAATGGTTGGTAGGGTTGAAGTCTGTGTGCCCCGGGGCAGCTAAAGCCTGGTTCACAAGAGACAATTTTAAAATTGTCGGCCGATTTTTCTCTGTGTGAGACCCCACACAGGGAGATAAAAAATCACGGGTCTAACCACTTTGGTCGTACAGTGTGTGGTGCGCAGCCACACGGCAAAAATCATGCAAACCACACACAAACCTGTTGGATATCCCCGATTTGAGATCGGGAGCAGTCCCGATGTCCTTCCGAGCGACGAGTGCAGTCTTAACACACCACACACGGCAGGATAATCTAAGATTTTGTTACGGAAATCGGAGCGTTTCTTAAGATTGTCGTAAGGGGTAAATCGGCCTAAATATCCTGCCGTGTGAACCAGGCTTAAGGCTACAGTAGTGGCCGACCATCATTGTGTGGTACTTGTGTTCTTTCTGTGACAGGCACTGAATACAAAAGTTACCAGTATTATTACTCAATATACAACTTTATTTATTTACATTTTCAGTTAACCAGTTGTATAAAATAGTGCATTTTTTCTTTTTTAACAAAACTCTTTATACAATATTTTTTATATAAATCTAATAGTTGAGGAAAACTTCAGGACAACCATGTTCAACACAAGTGAGTCAGAACACTACATTATATTACATTACTTATATTAGTTATATTTTCATCCAAAACTACAGTAGTTACAGCAAAAAGTCCATCACAATCAAGTGGTCATTCACAACAGTACATTACGGCTCAGATTAAGTCTACGTGTAAACATTCAGTCTCAAGAAATGTCAAATCCAGCCATTATTATGATCTAAAAACACACCAGAGATTGTAGGTTCAATACAGTTCATAAAAGTGGCAGTTTACTTCTATCTAGATACAGCAGCATTTTATTTTGGTTTAGAGTCACTTCAATAAATTAGCATAGTATTTCCAATGTGCACTTATGCCCAGTATCATAAAAAATAAATAAAACAGTTGTAACTTCCCACTACACCTCGTGGCCGTTCTCTGGCGTGCACTTGCCACACGCGCGCCTAAACCAGACCCAGTAGAGCAGCACCATGGTCGACCAGTAGCAAGCGTACGCCACGAAGCCGTAGATGAGGAACTGGACCTCCAGAAGCCGCGGAGGGGTGAGCCAGCCCAAAAGGCTCTCCTTGTAGATGGTGTGGCCAATGCCTGCTAACAAAATGGCACCCCACACCGACAGCGGGAGCAAGGGTACGTAGTTTCCCACTATTTTCTTGCGCCCAGAGGTCCCCCAGCTGCGCTTGTTGATGGTCAGGATGGCAAAGTACTTGGCGGGTAGCATGCTGGTCATGTACAGGGCAGAGTATAGAGACATGAAGACCATAATTGGATCTTTGCGGAGGAGCCCAGCGTACAGAGCTTTGAGCAGACCGATGATCTGGATGCAGCACAAGATCCACATGATGTCCCAGAGCGTGCCCGTCCAGAAGAGGTTGATGATGGTGGCGGTCACGAAGAAGGGAAAGATGCCCGACACGATGGACTCGTAGGTCATCCACAGGTGGTGCTTGTGCCACCACATGGCGTTGAAGAGCCACTCTCGGAAGTATGACTTGGTCCATCGCGTCTGCTGGTTGAGCCAACGCAGGAACTGAGCCGGGGTCTCTGTGTAGCACTTGGAGCGAGCGGTGTACCTGAAGAGAAAAAGCAGAATTGTTAAATTGTTATTTTTTTACCTTAAAAGGAATAGTTCACCGTTTTTACATACTGACATATGTTCTTACCTTACCTTAGACTAGTTAATATGTACCTGTCTGGTCTTAGTCCGTGCGCTCTGTCATGCAAACGGAGCAAAAACGGGTACTATATTGTGAGGCGTAGTAATCTGAGGAGCGCTACGTCCGCGCACTAACTTCTCTCCGGAGACTTCTCTCTCGCTCACTTCCGTCAATAGAAGCAGCGTGACTTGTAGTACAGAGAGAAGTTAGTGCGCGGACGTAGCGCTCCTCAGATTACTACGCCTCACAATATAGTACCCGTTTTATCCGCTGAGAAAATCGACAGTTATATTTCTGTGTTACTATACTTTGCAGTGTAACACGTCACGTAACTATATACATTTAATAGGGAACACTTGGAAGAGTTTGGTAGCTTCTAGCGGGAGCTACCTTTTGGGTCCTATACAGTATACAGAGGAGGCTGCGTTTGTGCTCCCGTTTTTGCTCCGTTTGCATGACAGAGCGCACGGACTAAGACCAGACAGGTACATATTAACAAGTCTAAGGTAAGGTAAGAACATATGTCAGTATGTAAAAACGGTGAACTATTCCTTTAAAACAAAAGAATGAGGTCATTTTACTTGTAAATGTATAAATTTACAGGTTAAACTAGGGAAATTAGAGTATTGTACAAATGTTCGTTTAATCCTGTTCAACTTACAACGTGAAACTAACAAATGATTAGCCTTCGTCCTGCTGTTCTTGCTTGCACACAGCGCCGCAAATGGCGAAGTGGCATGCTCTCTGCCAAGACAGCATGCCACTCTGTTACTTACGTGGCAATAAAAATGATTCTGATTCTGAATACACGCAAAGTGAGCCTTTATTTTTCTAAAAGCCCATAAATGTATCCAAATATATTATTATTCAAAATAATAATAATAATAATAATGGATATCTTGATTCACTTTCTTGAGTTAGGATCCATTTCACTTTAGTCATCCAATTGTATCCAATTTGAGAATATAATTTTATAACACACGCCTAAATGTGAATAAGCCCCAGTGCTGACAGTGCTCATCAGCTGGTGCCCAAGATGCTGTGGCAGGGCACTGGCGCGTAGGTGGTGTGGATGTGGCTTCTGTCAGAGCAAAAGTTATTTGATAACAAAGGCACTATTTTGCATGTACAGTAGATTAAAAGGGATTTTAATTGTCAGGAACATGGCTGGTGTCTTACTTCGTGGCAAAGCCCAAACTCAACATCCGGTTGGTGAGGTGGCGGTCGTCCCCAAACGTGCAGTGTGTGCCCAGAAACTTCTGATGGTACCAGGACTCCAGGAACTGCTGCAGGAGGTCATTTCTGTACAGCCCTGAATAAACAGTACAAACACATTTATCTCAAGTCAATTTTTATGAAAAAGTACTCAACAAGCTATCTAGCCCATCTCCCAATGTCCCATCTTTCGCTATTTCAAACTTTTCTGTCTGAAAAAGCTGGTCTGAAGATGTGACAGAGGCCAAAGTTTCTTATCTTAAAATAAATGTATGAAAACTAGTAAGAGCTAGTAAAACAAGGATGAATTTTATCGGTGATGTTGAGTACAATAAAACATTCAATTTAATTGAATTGGTGATTTCAAAGTTGTTGCTTGTTTTGGGTGGGGACAACCAGCAAGACCAAAACATGCAAACTAAACAGAAGACCTGGACCAACGTAAGCTCGTTTAGCTCATTTGTGTTTTTGCCAAAAAGAAAAACAACTCTGGGAGGAAAGTGAAAAGAGATGAAAAACATTAAAGGCATTGTCCTAAACCCTGATTACCTTTCATTTTATAATTGTATTTGTGTATTTTATTGTGTTAGGTGGAAAGTTTACTCTACTGATAATCACCTAACGGTCCACTGATGCAGGAAACACAGTTGAAGTAGGACTGGCACGCACGCTCCACGTTGAAGGCCATCCAGTATCGCAGGCTGCTCATGAAGCTGACGAAGGAGTCTTTACTGTTTAGGATCATCACGTCCCCTCCCACTGCCCCGTACGTGGGGTCACTCTCCAGCACTTTACACAGCTCTTCTGTGGCCAACGGGTCCAGCTTTGTGTCCGAGTCGCACACCTGGCAACGTGGAGGGGACAGTTAGACATCTGCCGGTGTAAACACATTAAATACAGTGCTATTCAGACGCCGTGGGATGATGTCTTAAAGGAGACATATAATACAAAATCTACTTTTTTTCTCTGTTTCAACATGTTTCCTCATCAATCACAGATCTGGAGTCGTTTTTAGATCCAATATGAAGAACTAACTCAGCCAAATCTGTCTAAAAGTTCCTGTCTTGGCCCTGAAAGGGTAGGACATTTTTTCGGATTTTATGACTGATAACGAGACAATGACTGCCTGAAATCTATTTTTTTTAGTGCTTGTGAATGAGGTTCCGGACTTTAAAAAGATCTCCACAATTATGTTTTACGTTCAAAATATAAAATCAGTTTTTTTGTGAATGGCTTCCAAAAAGACCAACATTTGGCCAAAACTATGAAATCTCTTTCTGTGTGTCTTTCAAGCACACTTTAAGTAAACAGACTTTTAAGTGCAGTGCACAACATACAGTACTCAAGTAAATACCTGGATGTAGTCGACTGAGGCCCCCAGTGTTTTGAACGCCGTGTACATCACCTCCCGCTTGCCTCCCCACTTCTGCATGATGCACACGCAGCGGTGTCTCTGGATCAGCTTTTCCACCACTTTGCTCTGAGGGTCTTCTCCCACAGTGAAGTGCGCACCCAGACTCAGTGCCACTGCAACATCTCCATAGTCCGGGGGCGTGTTGGGGTCCCAGGAGTGATAGTTGTGCTTCCAGACATACCAGGCCAGATCCTGGTCCGCGAAAACCTGTCTGAACATGTCCATCATGTAGCCGTCGTCTTCAGAGTTTCCGTCCACCACCATGATAATTCGCAGAAGCTCAGGCGGGTATTTCAGAGCTCGTATAGACAGCAGACACTCCCGCAGATAATCAGGGTCTTCTTGATAGGCCGCTATTGTGAAGCCAATGGTTTTAGTGTAAGAACATGGGTCTACACGGGCTTTCATTCGACGGTGCTCTACGAAAGCAAAGAAGCTCTGAACGAGAAGGTGGAGCCCGAGGAGTAGACCGTAGAGGCCGAAGGAGATTATGCCGTATTTGGAGGTGACAAGTTGGAAGCCCTGGACGTACGCCCAGGCCATGACACTCAGGACCAGAAGAGCGAAGAGGAAGGTGAGGAGGGCTCGGACTGCGGCGCTCAGCCTCTTCAGCAGCCCCTTTAACTCCATCAGTCTGCACCACACAGACACAACAGGGTAAATATGGGCAGAACAAGCAAACATTAACTTTTCACAGTTGTTGGATTTCAAACTCATACGAATCGTTGGTAATTCTCAAATGGTATTCTGGCTAATTCTCTGGACTAGGGCTTTAAACAGCTTGAACAACCGCAAATAAAATTTTATTTTTAATATTTTACTGATTTATTTGACCTCAATAGAAGAACAAATGATCTATGAATTTGTTTATTTCAAAATGTAAATCGAGTGAAATCCCCAGCTCCAGAAGCTTTTCATCCAATAATGTCCTATTTTGCTTCTTCACATCCACATAGTTTATCTTGAGGACCCACCTATCTCTAGGGGCTTATCCTCCAAACAAATTAAACTTTTATTTGTATTTATTTAAGACAATCTAAACTTTTAATGCACTCAAAAAAAAAAATGTATGAACACTAATAGAAAAGTAAAAGGTCTTAAGTCCCCTATAAGGGCACGGTCAAAAACATGCATCATGTTAAGATAAGAGTTCCTTTATTCGTCCCACAGTGGGGACATTTCGTTACCTTCACTTCTGTTTCTTTATCACATTTTTCAAACAGAAAAGTGAAAAGAAGAGGACCAGCCTCACTCAAAAAAAATCAGTTCTCAGCCCTAAAGCGTCAAATAGCGACATACAGTGCTCTGTATGCAGAAGATAACATCTCTGTTCAGACACACATTTTAATACAACTTAAAAAGTGGTACCAACATATGATATGGACTCATTAGTCTTTGTTTTAATTTAGAATATTTTGGTTTACAGCTTGGAAAAACTACAAGTTCAAAACAACCATTGACACCCTCTCCAAAGCACAGAAAGTATAAAGAGTGCATAAACCATAGAGATGAATGCAGTCTGTAAAAGTGGTCAGGAAAAGTGTGGAGGACCTTTGCAAGGATTGGACTGAGGCTGGATCAAAACATTGAAAGCCACTACACAGACGAATTATGGTAATGGGCTAAAATATCTCTTGTCGAGCCACTCCTGAACCACAAACAATGTCAGCATTTAAAAAAAGAAGAAAAACCCGGTCTGTTGCTCCGAACTCCATGATTCTCTTCTCTGACTAGAGCAATTGTTGCATCTCATTTAAAAACCGAGGTCCAAGAGTCTGGTTGAAGAATGGAGAAGCACAGAAACAAAGGTTGTCCATGGTTGAGGCCCAGTCCAAAGTTTCCATGTCTTCTGCTGGTGTTGGTCCACACTGCTTTATGAAGAGTCGACACAGCAGTTAAATTATTTCCTTTTTAGGCAGACAAGCCTTAAGCCTTATGCATACATACAGTGCCTGAGAATGTATAGCGCATTGTGAAAAGAAAGATGAGATACATGAGAGTGAACAAAGCAGAAGAGCTGAAGGCTGCTATTGGAGGATCCTGGTCTTCATCCCACCTCACCAACGCCACAGGCTGAGAGCATCCATGACACTTTGCATTAAGGAAGGAATTCAAGCAAAAAGGCTCAAAGCATGTTCTTATCAAACATGCATGACTATTTGGCCCTCATTTCATTTTAACCCTTGTGCATAGGATCTAACAGGGGCTTAAAGAATTAGGAAAAATCATCCAACTTTGCATACCCATAGGTCAACTTCATTTATTACATTTTAACCCTTTAAGGATCACCTAATTTCGCCTGCTCCTTCTCGAATTATGATACCCAAATGGAAATGCTTATTGTGTGGACATCTTGTGTCTGATTTTGTGTTATGATGCCTCATTTGAAAGGTAACACCTTCTAGTTTCTGAAAATGTATGTTACAGTTTGTTAGGAAGGACACAGTCTGCACTACACCTTCTCAAACATGAGTCAAAGTTAGTTTTTTTTGTCTCGAAAAAAAAAAGGCAATTTCAAAAGGTTCTCCTGAAGACATACTTTATGGTATGATGTTCAAACTCACCAGAGCAGATGTTTGTGGTGTTGGAAACACCTGTATGAAATTTTAGACCTTTAGGTGGAACTGTTTTGATGCTGGGGGCTTTTTTGTAACTAATGGGCACATTCGGCACAAGTGGTCCATTTTTGTGCCAACTGTGCAAAAGTGTTTTACATGCAAATTATCAATGTTTTTACACCAAAAATGCATTTATATAATTTTTTGGCTATTACTCTTGCTATAAATAGCATTTTTTCCAGATATTGAAATGTTTGCAGAAAAGCTATTATTTATATAGTTATAGCGCGTGTTCTCCGTGAAAAAGGCTCCGTCTTCCTCTTTACGCATTCAAATATGACGGGAACAGTGGGAGGAAGCTAGAAGTCCGACACATCGCCTGAAACCTGAGATTATTGGCTACAAGATGATTTGATTGACATCCAAATCGGCCAATGGTAGTCAAGACAATGCTGTCATGACGCACAGATATCTATGTGAATGGAGCGCTAAATCTAGGTGCGCTTGTTTTACTCAACTTACTCTACCTTCCAAACCATAGCACTGAAAAGTCCGGGAATGGGCTTGTTTTGAAGGGAAGACTGAGAGGAAGACGAACATACCCAGTGACGCTAGCTAAACAGTAAAATGTCCTCTTCATACAGTGCGCAAAGAACAGGTTTTGTTTTTGTTTGTGCAACTTTCAATACTCAAATATGTTGTTGCAAGTGGATATCTACTATAAGGATGACTTTGAAGAAAAAACAACTGGATATAATTATTCTCTAGATACTAACGAACAAAACAAATGCAAACATGTGTGGATTAGACGTGATTTGCCCCAGAATATTAGCATGACAAGGTAAGAAAGGACAATATATATTTTAAACATATATACAGTTTGACTACTTATTCTTACTTTTGGTTATATTTCATGTTTATTTGAACATAATACGTGTATAGAGGTGGGAATAAGCTTTCAAAAGAGATATAGCTTGACTATATTGACACAAGTGAATTCTTATACTGATGCTGTTAAATGAAAAATAACTGAATCCTCCCTGTACAGGGAGGGTGATCCTTAAGAGGTTTTAAGTTGTATTATATTATTAAATATAGAAATATCAGTTTTCACAATATTCTGAGTTGCATCTCTATTATTTATACAACAGTGAGGTGCCTCAGCTTTCGAGGAGCAGTATGTAAACATCTGGCCAAAAGTGGTACTGCAATCTCTCCCACTCTCCCTGACTCAGGTTGCCAGATATGCAGACAAATCCAGCTGGGACCATAATAATAACTGAATAGACAACAAATCTTTAACCAACACCTTTTTCACAAAAGCCCAATGGAAATCCTTGTTTTATTCCTTGTTTTGTCATTAATGATTTGAGAATCATAACGAGACCCGTTTAGTACTGCGGCCACATGCTACTTTACCAGTGAGATTAGCTCGCCGAGGTAAAACGGTGGAGGGCAGGACATCGAAATGAAAACCATAACAAGATTTAGGGGCAGTAAAACTAATTTTGAACAACCCTTATCAGTTAAAGAATTTTTTGTAGTTGTATTTTTTCCTTTCATGAAAATGCTGGTGCACTTTATAGCTTTATAACATACGTATTATACATTTGCAGTGTACATTTCCATTATTGGAAAGGAGCAGAGAGGAAATATTCTAATGTTTATCTGCCCCTTTTTCTACAACGTTAAAACAATGTGATGGTCTTACCCCATTACCCCCCCTCACATGTGCAAACCATTCCTTTGAATGGATATTATATTTTTGATATTTAATTAATTATGTATAGTGTTTGAATATATATATATATTCAATCACTCCAGGCCTTCCTGACGGTATTCTTTTGACATATTAAATGCCATTTAATGATGACTTGACATGAAAATCTTTCATATTGCTACTTTAAAGCATTTTCTTACTGATAGAAATGACTGATTCCTGTATATTTGTCTGATCTTGTTTCTGCAAGAAAACTTGACCAGCTAAGAAAAGTTACGCACACGTTCTTTAATAGAGGTGTCAAAAGTACTAGTCTCAAGTAGGTTCTAAAGTAAAAGTACCCGTACCCCCGGTAAAAGAACTGAAATCAATCCCCATAAAAGTACAAACGTATAGATACTTTTGTGTGTTTGAATAATTGACAGACAATATATGTCACAGAACAAATCTTTGCCTGAAACACTTAAGCAACGTTACACTGATGTATCTGTTTCACATCACTCACTGGAAAAGAATTACATTCAACACAACAAACGAGAATCTTGGCAAAGAACTTCAAACATGTTTACATAGTGTTTCTTTTAAATACAGTCCATTTTAAAGTATAAAGGAGTAAGAAGTACAGATATATGGGTTTAACACACTTTTCACTCTAGCCGTCCAACAACTGGCTCAACATCAGCCAAAGCATAGAATATACAGTATAATATTTCTCCTCACATTCATTACCTGGCACCCCCTTATCTCACCATTGCTGTAAAGTGACCTTGGGTGTTTAAAAAGACACTTGTGAATAAAATGCATTATTATTATTATTAATAATAATAATGATAATAATACAAAATTGATAATAGTAGTGTTAAAAGTGAGGGAATGTTTTAAACTACGTTGTTGAGTGAGGGTGAATCAGATTTTAAAAATGTGACGCCAAAAATACATACATGTAAAAATAATATAAAACAAACTACTTTGAGCACAAGGAGCCAAGTTCAGATTTTGTTTGTTTATATGCATGTTTTGCTGTTTGAAAGTTAGGTATCCCAGAGAAAGTTGCTACCTCTGGTATTTATCTAGATATAAGTTAAATTAAAACATTGTTCAAAAACCCATTTACTTCTACAATTCAACTAATAATGTTAAACTAATGACAGACTCATTCCAAGTGAAAGGTTATTTCTTATAACGTTAATGGGCTCACAGCTTGTAAAAATCGCCAAATATTTTTTTTTTTTTTTTTTAATTACAGAAAATTGGAAAAAACATTGAAATGGTCCATAAGCCATAATCAAAATGTTAACAAAAGGCATATGTGACTTTGCATGAAAGACGTCTTTATCAGATATGGGTTTCACATTTTTTTACAGAAATAAATACACTTTTTTAATCAACATTTTACAACTTTCACCAGTAAATTAAATGATAAGTTATCGAGGGGAATGCAGTGAGAGCCCACATACCTGCTTCTGCTCGCTGTGAGATGCTCTGCTGCGGCGGCTCAGACTCATGTGCGCCAAAAAAAAGTGTTACGCTTTTTATCCGCAAAGAGGAGAGGAGAGGCGCGTGCGTGACTCAGCCGCGCGTCAGCCTGTTTTCAGCTTCCATGGAGACTGCATTGTCCCGCCAGCCTCCTCTGAGCACATGTGGGGATGTGGTGAGGAGGGGGGTTACACGCAGAGGTTGGACCCTGATGGAGACGCAGAGGCACAATGTGATTCACCTACAACAATGTCAAAGTATAAGTTAAAAAAAAAAGTTTCCTTTAGAGAAGGCAGAGTTTTAGAAAAGTTAAAGATATTTGAAAAAAATCTGCTCTGGTAAAAGATAACCTCAAAAGTAGTTTGTTTTTTTCAATTATAAATAATGGACGGACAGTATATTATTCCATTCCATTCCATCTTCTTCCGCTTCATCCGTTGCCGGGTCGCGGGGGCAGCAGTCTAAGCAGAGACGCCCAGACTTCCCTATCCACACACACTTCCTCCAGCTCGTCCGGGGGGACCCCAAGGCGTTCCCAGGCCAGTTGAGAGACATAGTCCCTCCAGCGTGTCCTGGGTCTTCCCCGGGGCCTCCTCCCGGTGGAACGTGCCCGGAACACCTCCCCAGGAAGGCGTCCAGGTCCACGTCCCAAGAGCCAGATGTTGGGTGTGTGGACTGGGTCGCCGAGGTCTCCGCCTTCGACTGCTGCCCAGTCCTCTCTGCACCGCACAATATATTATATAGACGAAATTATAGAGCCACTATTTGTCACACTGTTGTCATCTGGAAAAAATGATTTGCTTTTTAAATGAGAGGGGTTCTGCATTTTCATCATAGGTAAACTTCATCTGTGTGTGACAGAACGTGGGAGATGAATCTAGGAAATTACATTTTATTGTTTTAAACTATTTTGATAATTTGGCTAATACTAATGCAAGTACTCTTCCCCCTCCAAAGACAGTGAGAGTTCTATAACTTCTAAAACTATTCTTTGGTAGAAGAAAATACTTTGTCCATGTGATATTCTCGCGGGCCTCTTCTAGATCATCCAGATGGCCATTGGAAAACTTCCGAAAAGCCTGGACATGAGCTTCAGCAAGGGGACCTATCAGGTGCTGCATCTCAAGAGCACAGTGAAGCATGGAGGTGGAAACATGGTTTGAGAATGCTTTTCTGCGACTGATCTGAGTCATTAAGGAGGAGGGGGGACCAGAGAAGAGTAAGTAAGTAATGTTTATTTATATAGCAATTTTATAGACCAAGGTCACACCAAAGCCCTTTACAATGTTCAGAAATCAGATATTGTTGCAATCACTCCACACCCGGTGATGACAGAAGTCGAGACACCGAACACACTGGCGCATCAAAGCCCCAACCAACAGCATTCAGACCAATTGTACATGTTTTTAGTGGTAAGGGAAACCGGAGCACCCAGAGGAAATCTACGCAGAAACGGGGAGACAATGCATACTCCACTCAGAAAGGCCCTGTTCTGACTAAGAGGACCAGAGAAAAGCAGGTGGACCAGAGGAGAGCAGGGGGATCAGAGGGGAGCAGAGGGGAGCAGGGGGGGCAGAGGAGAGCAGGAGGACCAGAAGAGAGGGGGGACCATGGACAAACTCAAAAAAAAGTGAGAATTGGGAGAGTGATCTTCTCAGGTTTTTTTTTTCGTTTTTTTAACTTATACTATACCCATTCCTACGCATTTTGAGCTCTTCTTTGTATTCATATTTTCCCCCCCTTTTTTATACTTGCAACTGCATTTCTCAAGTAAATAATGCAATGAAATATAGCCTGTAGAAAATAACTTGAAATACCATGAATAGGCCATCTCAATATCTCATCAAATACTCTGTTTAAAGGCTACAAGGCCAAGAAATATGTTTTATTAGAATCCAATGTCGAGTTCATTCACGCAGTGCCCTGTCTAGACTCATGTGAGATGGAGATAGCCGAGCGCCCTCTCGCGTCTTTGTGTAAAAGATGCATATTTAGTGCAAATCTTACCTGAACAGACCGTCCGCGCTTTAGATCTGAGGTCACTGTCTCAGGAGGCTCAGATGCTCTGACCGCGCATCATCTTCATCTTCATCTTCATCTTCATTCTCCGCGCGCACAAAGCATAGAGCGACTTCCAGCTCAGTAGACCTCCACACGCCCCACGGTCCCCGGCAGAGGCACGGGCGGACACGCGGAGCTGATCATACCACGTGGATGAAAACAGGTGTTCAAGCATCCCTGCGCACGAAAAACTAATAATAATAATGATGATAATAATAATAATAATAATAATAATAATACAGCGTGGTTTTTGGACGCTCAAAGATGCTTTACAAAACACACAGAAATAAACATTGAAGAACAAAATGAAGAAAGGCAAGGTGAAACTGGTGGGTTTTGAGAAGTGATTTAAAGGTCTGTAGCAAGTCGGAGCTTCTGTTGGCTTGAAAATATAGCCCTTATTCAAATAGGAGCTCAAAGATAAATAAATGCATAGAATCGTGTGTTTTCAACTAGGTTTTTGAACATGCTCGGGTTAGAAGACTGTCTCACATTTTCAGGAAGACTTGTTCCGTATCATAGCTGGATGAATGTATGAAAGCAGTTGGGCTAATTGACGTCTATAAGTGTTGGCTTCATTTGGCGCTAAGAGGCTGAATGCTGCCCTCTTCTGGTCGATTAGGAGCAGGTCAAATACAAAAAAGAATTTAATTTAATTTTTTATCTGGATACAAATCCATTATCTCTTCTGATCCAAATCAGAAAAGATATTTAATTCATAGTACATATTTTTGTTTCATGAATACATATTGTTTGTCCCAACAGAAAGAGCGTAGTTTAACATTTTATGAACAAATTAGACAATCTTTATCCTTTTGGATAACATGATATTTTACAAACTGCAGCTGATTGGCCGGTTGGGGTTGGGGCAAGTACTCTTTATCTCACTGAAAGATGATCTAAAGACGTTTAGAGAGTGAGGAATAATAGCTCCATGGATTTTATGCTATGAAATCATTATTTTTTGTGGTTTCAAAGTTACAGCTTTAAAGATGCATTTCTCAACATCCCTGGAGGATCTGTCTGGCAACAAATAAAAGAGAGCTTACCATGCCCTGGGTTAGACCCTGATTTCAGGTCACCACAGTCCAGACCTTTCTGTGTCCAGTTTGCATGTTCTCCCCATGTATGCATAGGTTTCCTCTGGGGGCTCCGGTTTCCCCTACCACTAAAAGCATGTACCTCGTAACACCCTTCCTATACCTCCTCTCCGCCCCCTCTCTCTGGGGCCACGTCTCCCCTTAGAAAGAGATTCTGAAATGTCAGAGGGACTTAAATAAAAGGTCAATGAGGTCAAGACAGTCCAAAAAGCCACCGGAGGAGAAATACAGAGAATAAATAAATTGATAAAAATATTATTATTAATAACAAAAATAATGTTTTTTTCAGATTATAATGATAATTACAATGTTAATGATAATGATGGCTATAACAATATTAATTAAATAAATAATTATTATTCATTAATATTAAAATTGATAATAATAATGAAGTTAATAATAATAATAAGAGGAAGAAGCAAATCAATAATGATAACCAAACTAGTACCTGGTGTCATAAGCATTACCAATAAAAAATAGTAAGTAAGTCATCTTTATTTGTATACCACCTTTTCACTGAAGATCTGAGTCTCAAAGTGGTTTACAATTGTAATTTTTGGGCATTTGTCTCTCACTCCACACAGAGATGGGAGCAGGGTCACTAGTACAGGCATATCCTATTGTACATATTTTTAGTGGTTGAGGAAACCAGAGTACCTGGAGGAAACCTACGCAGACACGGGGAGAACATACAAACTCCACTGAGAAAGGCCCTGGTCTGACCGGGATTTGAACCCAGGACCTTCTTGCTGAGAGGTGGGAGTGCTATCCACTCAGCCACCGTGCCACCCACATTTAGTATTTTTTATATAGCCAAAATTTTACTATTAGTTTTACTAACAAATGTTTAGTGTACGTGATATACTTTAAAATAAATAAATAATAAATAAATCGTTAAAATAAATGTGTGTTCACTTATCCATGCGGCTCTGTTTAAGAGTTTCCATTTAATATGACAAATTTTGTAAGGGTTTAACTTCAGGCTAAACAATTTCGGTATGTAAAGTTGTCAATGTATGGATGTGAATTTTTTAATAATTATTTTATGGCAAATTACTTAAGTAATAATAAGCTAAATTAAACTCAAATCATTACGTAGATTCCTATTAAGATATATTAAAAAGAATGATTTTGTCCTAGTATTGCTGTTATTATTATATTTGTTGATCCAAAACACCTCCCTTACTGAACACTGCCCTCTTATGACTCTTCTGTGAAACTGCAGCTGTATAGAAAACACAGCTTGTAAAAAAAGTGGAAATCGCCGTTGACTAAGTTACACCACAGAACAATGGCTCATATCTTTAAAAACCCCACATTTTCTGCTACATCCAGTTCTCAGCGGACGAAGCAACTTTTCCCCCCGGAGCCCTGCCACCGTCCTGGTTTAGCCACCATGATTACATCCCTGGAGACTTTCTTTACAAGGCTCTGGGCTGACCACTCATGAGGGCCCACACCCATAGCCACAGCCGCTCAACCCAAATAGACTGATGTCATGGTGCAAGCGCATGTGCCGCGGTGATATGTTTTTGTGGTCGCACACTGTTATTTTTTATCACAGTTTGGATCATTTATCGTTTATTTATTGAGGTTAGGGGTTAGGTCTTGTCTAAACACTGCAGTTGACTAAGAAAAGGCTCACTGGACCATCTTAATATAGGCTTTTTCTGGACTCAATGATCTCAAAAACAGGCCTTCTCCGTCCAACAGCGCGGCTCGGTCTTTAATTGGTGGTCATGTCATCGTCCGTTGACTCATTCGGTGCCCTCTGATGCCACACCCCAGTGCCAAAGTCCATCCAAACCACTAGTTTGAGACCTTAATATTAAGTTATGTGATCTGGTCCAGTTCGGTCCCATCATCGGCCTCTGAGTGTGTGCGAGGCCGCATGCGTGCGTCTTCGCTACATAAATCGCAAAATGCCGCCTTCGCTTAAGCATTTCTCAAAGTGATGCGTAATTTCCTGTAATTTGCCAGGAATCCCACAAAGACGTGCTTTTGATCTTTGTGATTCAGCTTCGGCTTCCTGTAAATATCAGTTTGGTATTCTGACTAAAATGAGTCAGTTACAGCTGGACTTTCTCTTTTTGTGTTGGATGTAAGATAAGATAAGAGTTCCTTTATTCGTTCCACAGTTGGGGAAATTTGGATGTTGCAGCGCACATACAAGTTGGAGATGAACAATATTAACACAGATACTGGTTTGTGACTTGACAAACACAGTTTATCCACAGCTGCATGGCGGGTCCTGGTTAGCTGTTGTTACAAAAGGAGAATATGTTGTGTTCTCGTGACATCACAAACTTATAGAGCTATAGCTTAACATTGTGGAGTAGGGCAGAATAAGTGGGGACAATATTCAATTATAGATGCAAGATGTAGAAAGAACTCTCAGACGTAAGAATATGGTTTGTGAATTTAAAAGATGAATTGGGAAAACATTTTTACATTTTCTTTTTCAACATTTCTCTCAACAATTGCTTCTTTCCCATCAAGATGTATTGGAAAAAATCTACAAAATTGACATTTATTATCTTCTTTGTGACGTTTAAAGTAAAAAAAACCTGTGTTCTTTCTACACCAACAACTTAAATTGTATTTAATGTTGTAGATATTGCATATTTTTAAACCACATGCTACTGTATCATGTTAATTAAGTATTTTTCAGGGTCCCTCCTCCTGGCAAAATGACGAGTAATTTTTGTATTGATATGGCTAGTCTAACTGTTTTTCTCTCTTCACAATTTAAAAAGTAACTGACATTGACTTAAACTACCTCGATCTCTACCTGTTAATTGAACAGAAAATGTATGACCACAATCTATTATGCGCAAGAATGGAAGGAATGAATGATACTTAAATAGCACAAATGTATTTATATAACATTCTTCACACCGTATTGCCGACCACTGTGTGTGCACATATAATAACCAATGACGTAGCACTTCATTACTTTTGTCTGTCCAGAAATAACTCATGATACCAATCCAGAATTGAAATATTGATTTAACTGTTTTAATTCAGTCAGCCACGTCCATAGCACTGAACACACACATACAGTAAACATCTCATGGGTGATTTTCCTCTTTGTGTCACATTTCTTTGGACACTCTTGCTTCTCAGCCTGAAGCCAAGGTGTTTTTAATCCAGGATGTGAAATTACAAACTTTAGTGTACACTCCGGGTTTGTTCCTGAGCGCGCAGCCTTTGCCCCAGGACACCACTCCCTGCAGCTCTCCATCACACACCAGGGGCCCTCCGGAGTCGCCCTGAGCCCAAACACATAAGCTTTGTAGTCACTACTATGCAAAACAAGATCTATAGCTGTATTGGATTGTTAACAAGTACTAAAGTAAAGCTGGGGTATCTAACTTCCATCAATCCATCCATTTTCTTCCCCTTTGGGTGACAGTGGCTCAGTTGGTAGAGCATTGGCCTTTGAGCCTGAAGGTTGTGGGTTTCGGGCCCACCACAAGACCTACTTCAAGACTCCCACTGATGTCTGCTGTCGTTGTGTCCTTGGGCAAGACATTTAACCCCACAGAGCTTGAAGCCCCCGCTGAAAGATCCTCCTGTGGACTCACCACCTGCAGGAGGATCAGTGGGTGCTCTGACTGCCACCCCCTGACCCAGAAATCCATCCATTCACTTTCTTACCCTTAATCCATTTCTGGGTCGGGGGGTAGCAGTCAGAGCTGCACCCAGTACACAGAGCACTCCCCTCTCACTGATCCTCCTGCAGGTGGTGAGTCCACAGGAGCCTTGATCTTCATGCAGTGGATTCAGGCCCAAGGACACAACAGCAGACATCAGTGAGAGTTGTGAAGTAGGTCTTGAGGTGGGCTCAAACTCACAATTTTCAGGCTCAAAGGCCAATGATCTACCAACTGAGCCACTGTTGCCCCTGAGCCTGTATTTGACTTTTCGTTCATAAATGCACGTTTTGTAAAAGTATAACATTGTGAACAATTCAGACCTCAACATGTGTCATCTTATTTTCAAAAAGTAACACTTGTAAGAAAGACCCCTTGGAGTCACTATTTGACTCTTTGGTCTGCTCTTCCACTTTCTTTCTTTCTGTCTGAAAATATGTCTCTGAATATGTGACTAAAAATACATTCATGTAAAAACTAAGGATTTAATTACATTGCTCTGTTTTTGTGAATTGAAAGTTATGCACCCCAGCACCTCACTTTAAAAAGTTTCTTTGGTATTCATTCCACCCAAATTGCTCTAGACTCAATTAAGGTAGCAATCAGTGTATGAGGGAAGACTAAGGAGATGGTGGTGGATTTCTGCAGACGTCACTTTGCCGCTCCAGCCCCAGTGAACATCCAGGAAAGGGACATTGAGAGAGTGGACTCTTACAAGTACCTGGGTGTTCTTCTGAACCACAAACTGGACTGGACTCATAACTCAGACGCCCTCTTCAAGAAGGGCCAGAGCCGGCTCTACCTACTGAGGAGGCTCAGGTCTTTTGGAGCACAGGGACCACTCCTGAAGACCTTCTATGACTCTGTGGTGACATCAGCCATCTTGTACGGTGGGGTCTGCTGGAGCAGCAGCATCACAGGAAGAAGCTGGACCAGGTCATCAGGAAGTCCTGATTATCTTGTCCAGTCAGGACACTATTCTATGTTATTCTATTTTACCATCTTCATAATTTCCAGGTAGTTCAAAGTTATTCGAGTGCACACAGAGGCTTAGGGATCCCCAATCTCGGTGGAAAAGGGTGATATCTTGTTTACTCTACCTGGCAGGAGTCTTTTTCTCCTTCCAGGAAGCCAGCACAGATCATGTTTTCTGTGATTTGAAACGGGTGGGAGTTGAAGCATGTGTCGTCGCTCAGCAGAGGCAGCTCCAGACACTGCAGTTTCGCCGGATACCGGGCTAAGGACACAAATACAAACAAATGATGGATGTAGGGCTATATAAAGTTCATCTCTGAATCGTATTTTGAACCTTACATAGACTTAAATATGCTGAGAAAAGGTTTTATGACTCTATAATCCGGGGACAACACTTTGTGAGTGATAAGCAGCTAATTTAAATAATAATCAGCCAACTATTCAATTATTAAAATAATTTTTAGTTACAGTCTAAACCTAAACGGTCGGTTGTCCTATTACAAATGTTATACAATAACACAACAACTCAAGTTCACACTAAAGATACATGCCTTTGTTATGATGATAATGGCTTACAGTTTCTTTGATATTATATTTGTGGTTTTGACAAGCTGTAAATTTTCATATAATGACTCATATTAGTTCCACATTGTAAGTTGACTCAAGTAAAGAGTAAATGGACTTTTGAACGATAGTCTAATTTTCCAAGTTTCACCTGTTCATCAACTTGTTATTAACACAGACTCACATCCCTCGTTGCTGGACCGCAGGTTCCCCCATCCGGACACTGAGCACATGGTCCCATCCTTGGCGCAGGCGGAGGGCAGCGTGGCGGGCTGGACAAAGGCGTTGAACGTGGCGGGTTGGCTGAGTCTGATCAGCATGATGTCGCTGTCCATGGTGCGGGGGTTGTAGTCTGGATGTCTGATGAAGCCTGCGGACACGATGTACTGCTCTGTGCCCTCCTCCTCCCAGATGTCATGCTCCCCCAGACGCAACTCCACATCCGACCTGCACCAAACAGGTCTTATCATTGTTTAATCTTTTTCAAAAGTTGTCATAAATATGATCAAAATGGTGATCTTAAGAACATGTCAAGAACAGGCCACTAAATGCAGAGAATTGATGCTTCTTATCTGGCTAAACAGATAGTTTAGCTATCTGTTTAGCTATAATTTCCTATATAGATAGTATATGCTGTATTGCTTATGTTGTAAAAATTATCTGAATATATTGTAATGCTTTTTTATTTTATTTACTATACTTGATTCGGACCCCAGGCAGAAAAGCAACATCTCTGTTGCGCTAAAGGGGATCCCTTCAATAAACATTGCAAGTTTCCAGTTTCTCATGCTCACCACTTAACTTAACTTTAAACACTTTGTTTTCACTTTGTTTTCACCTGATGGTGCTGGAGTAGAATGAACCAAACCCACAGATAATGACCAATGAGGAGGTACTGAGTTCGAATGAACCAAACACATACATGATGACCAATGCCATTTCAGCTTATCTCCAAACTAGAAAAAACATTTTAGGTTTTAACTTTATTAACCATTCACTTTTTTGAGGATTTTAACTATGTTACAACTGGAGTCCTAATAGATCCATCCTTGCTAATATCAGGACCTTTATAATATAAAATGGAAAATAAAAATAATTCAACTCCTTGCTCTGGTGGTTGCATAGGGAGTTACAGTCATACTAGTTTCACCACATGTTTTCTTCTTTATTATAATTCCCTTTCTATTCATATTATTTTGTATTTTTGAAACATAAATTAAGCAATATCATTGTTAAATATATTTGCTTTGCTTTATTCTTTATTATGGAAAAAAAAACATGTCTGTCTTGATATCAAATTAATGTTGAAGATTATTTGTCCGATTATTATAATGATTGACCGATCTGATCTGAATACATTAAGGGCCTGATCCACCCCTACAGTATGTTTCCAACAGGAACTTGATGTCCTCCAGTATCTATCCATCTATTGATGGTCCCCCGCACCCGTTTTAAAACCCGAGGAAACAGATCCTTCCAGGCAGTTGCTCCTCACCATCAACAGAGTTTGTTGTTCAAGTCCCAATTTGAGACATATTTGTTTAGACAGGTTTTCTCATCTGACTGTACATAAGGCCTCTGTGTACTTTATTTACTTTATTGAACAGGAACAATGTGCAATGTGATTTACACCAGAAATAGCTACTGCTACCTTCAGTCTCTGGTAAAAATACAAAAAATACACATTCGAATTATAAAAAGCAATACCTCACAAAATTGATAAGTTATCAAATCTACTGATTACCAAAGTATATAGTGACCTCCCTCACACACGTAGTGTGGCGGACCTACACGAAGCCTCAGGTCTCTTCAATCATCTTCTAATCACAGGACTTGTTTTCAAGATCTTTTCCTTCTTTATGATGACTAAAACCGCAGCTCGTAGATGTCTGTGTGCGGCTGATTTATGATCTGAGTAATGAGCCTCTTACTTAGTTTTGCAGTGAGCGGCCGACAGCACCCAGCGGTCTGACAGCAGCACCCCTCCGCAGTGGTTGTACCCAGTGAACAGAGAGACCTGGTAAGGCACAGAGTTCTGCACGCACTCATAGCCTCCTACGATCCTGTCATCGGGCAAGGCAGCTGAGAAGAACAAGCAAACGCATCATTCACAAGTGTAAAAGACCGAAGCTGAACTGTCCTCACCTGCCCAGCCGAGCAGAGCCAGCAGCAAGAGCACCTTCATGTTCCAGTGACAAATGTGCCTCACAAACTCAAACCTATCCATACTGTTTTATCTTATCGCCTTTCCTCAAGGTTGACATAAAACACCTGTTGTTTTCCCCAGAATGCATAAAAATAGGTCAGGACAGAAGATTCCAACAACACTGCAAAAAGTGGCAGAAAAAAGGTCAAAATTGCTTTAATTAGACAACATTTATTCCAATGTCACTACGTTTTGACTGTTAAGCCCCTTCTGTCAGAATCCGACTTTTTTAGGTGTCAAATGGCACGGTGGTCAGCTTCTGCCTTTTGGTTACATACTTAGAGTGTGTGCGCAGCTGTAAAATTATGTTACTATAACCCCAAAAGGACACAGAGGGCTGAAATTGGCCCGTGGGCCTTCAATTGGCCTTCCCTGCTTTAGACCATTTGTTCCCCAACTGGGGACTTCTGGGGTTAAAGATGGATGTTCAAGTGCTGAATATTCCTACGATAACCAATTATATGTTAAAATGTGTTGTAACCAGCATAGTATTTCTCAATCTGCCCCATATTTTCTAAGATCTGGACTGCTGAAAGCAAATGTTTGATTTAAAAGTGCAAATTTTGCGACCCTCCACACATTCAAGTTTTGCTTGGAAAAAATAAACATTAAGTTTAACAATATTATTGCTGTATTACATTAAATGACAACAACATTTTGATGAGAGCGGTACTTCTGCTTAAATATGTAGGGTTTGCAGTTTAGATGGTTTTCCATCACGTGCAAAGCATCATGGATGCTTTGCGCGAACGCCATGTTGTGGGTCTAGCTTATATTGCACGGATCATATGTGCCCATGTCATCTAAAGCCACGATTTCGGCCGACACTGACCGTGTTAAGTATATTGATACACTGGAGTAATCTGTGAGGCAAGATCCTTGGAGAAATTGAGAGTGATCTGTATGAAATGCGGCGAGACCAGTGGACTTTGCCCGAAATGGCTTACTTTCACTTTGCAGTTTTTACAATTAAAAAAGATCATGATGTAAATTATGAAATATTTCTTTCAATCAATAGTTTATTTTGAACGAAGCAGTTGATATCACAGGCCTTAAATCACTTCTGTCTAGCACCCTTTCCCCCCCTCCTCCTCCCCCTCTCATTCATTTAGAGGGGATCGCTTGAGGCCCATATATGCATGGTATCACAGTCACATCGCAGCTCTGAATATAAACCACACATGCACAGATTTAGCTCTGACCTGTTATGAAATGGTCAGAACAGACCTTATAGTGCCGTTTTTTAGGGGGTTAGGGTTGAATCCCTCTCGGTTGATCCTCGCCAACCAAAGGGTTCTTCTCTCTGTCGAGAGTAATAACCTTTGGAATGTCCCCAAAATCTGCACGTTTACTGCACCCCCAAACAACGCAGGTAGTCGGCATGTTTTAGCGCAAAAAAGATAATGTGCTACGCTTTGTTTACCTACAACTATCAGCGGCTAGACAGACAATATGGCGAACTGCGGATTGTGGGTAGGGCGTGACGTCAATGGAAAACCATCTATTGGTCTTATGCTTAGGACCCCAAAAATCCTAGCACCAGCTCTGAGAGAAGCAACTATTTTGAGACAGATCAGATGGATTTCATATTCCAGCTTTATTTAGTAAAAGGTGCAAAACGTAGCTTCCACTGCAGTAAACTATTTGATTTTGCATTTTGTTTCCCATAAGTGTAGTACTAATCTCTTCAAATACACAGTAATTTTGTCCATTGAGGCTCTGATCATAAGTACCCCAGCTCCATGTGCAGTGAGCAGTCTCACCAGAGCAAAAACACGGAATTCCCCTTTTTCAGAACGCCCAGTCACATTTGTGTTTTTCCTGGTGTTTTCCAGAAGACAAAGTGCAGTGACTTTGCATAAGGGGGCGGCATGAAGGAGGATGTATGTCAAGAGTTGTTTTATTTGCATTACTATTGTTTATGATCAAAAGCAACATAAATAAGGCCCTAAGCTTTCACACAATGCAGGTCACTTCAGGGTTCATTCATTAAGTCATAGCATTATCATGATTCTAAATGATGTTCAAAGTATATGAAAGAGAGAGAGATACAAAATATTACAATGTATTAAAATAATACTCTTGCTCTTATTGAACAATAGTTGCATTAAACTTTTACTTGTGATGGCGGCAGCTGTAATACCAAGTGTCACAGTGGGGCGCTGCTGATTTAAAGTTTAAACTGTTGAGATGTCCTTGGGCAACACTCTTCATCCACATGTGAGTGAACGCTGGTGGTGGTCGAAGTCTCGCAGTCTGCCTAATGGCAGCTGAGACTGGGATAGTAGGTCACCATATGAACTGACTCAGCCTTTGAGAAGCAAAGGAACCAGCCTCCCGCTGGCTCTCTTACAAGCACAGGTACTGGCATCCTGCTGTGACTCTGTGGAGCACAGGGACTGGTTTCCTGCTGGGATTCTGAGGAGCACAGGGACTTATCTCCTGCTGGGACTCTGAGGCGCACATGGACTGGTTTCCTGCTGGGACTCTGAGGAGCACATGGACTGGTTTCCTGCTGGGACTCTGAGGAGCACATGGACTGGTTTCCTGCTGGGACTCTGAGGAGCACAGGGACTGGTCACCCACTGGGATTCTGAGGAGACAATGATCAAATTCAGGTTAAAAACCATTTAGCTGTGAGACAACTGAAAGATGTTTGCAATTAATAAAAAATGCTGTGTCCAGGAGAAGTCTCTAGATATAAGAAAAGTAACTCAAAAGTGTACATGTCTCACTCTGAACACAACAGGGTGTTTGAACATATCTGCTCATTGCTTATTGACTTTATAACCATCCAACAGTGCACTCAGTTTTATACTTGTCCCAGTTAAAACGGTGCAGCAGCAGTGAGTTTTCCTCAGAATCTGAAGTATGTTTGTGGTCCTCTGTGGGTCTCTGTGGTCCTCAAGACGCTGCAGAGGTGTTTGTCAGCGCAGACAGAAAACACTTGGATGTGGAGCAGACCTTTGATTATACACTCAGCTCACATATGTGGCATTCCCATCGCGCTCAGACAAGCCCACCACTTTAAGCCATCATGTTTATTCCCCTGAAGAGAGACTACCTTTATAATTATAGGAGTTAAAACCTATTATTTTAGTCTGCTACAAATAAGTTCTAATCATGATGATTTAATGTTCATGAGAAATAAATGATACTCAAATCTCAACAAATGGCACACTTCATGTTGACTCTGATTAGGCACAGGACTTTTCCTCAAGCAAACAGATTATGGAAGTCTTTTTTGAGTTTTTAACCATCACAGATATAAAATTGTGTTTTAGCTCCATCTACACTCATACCAAGTAAGTAACCTTTATTTATAAAGTGCCTTTCACAGACCAGGATCACACAGTGACAGAAGCGGGGTCACCGAAGAGGAGCGGCATGCCAGACCTATTGTTTATGCTTTTAGTGGTAGGGAAAACTGGAGCACCCATAGGAAACCTACAAAGACACAGGGAGCAAACCCAGGATCTTCTTGCTGTGAAGCACAAGCGCTGACCACTGCGCCACCATGCAGCCCAGGAGTATGTCCCCCCTGCCCCTTCTGTAAAAATGACACGGCCTCTAACTGCCTTTTAAACACAAGGTTCTGTCTTTTTGCATCGCATTTTGTTCAGGGCAGAGCTTCCCAAAGTGAGGTCTGGTGTCCCCTAGAGGCTATCAGAGTTTTCCAACACAACAACAAATGGAGTCTATCTAATCAAACCTACAGACTTTGATTAAAATAACTACATTAAGGCCAATTTTTACAAATCAAAACAATATGTATAGAATGTTTTATTGTATTTGTAATAAATATGATTCATCTCAAGCTATAATATGTATTTCCATACCTGTATGTGAAAGCCAGATCCCGTCAGACCTCTGATGCAGTCATGGCTAGTACCTGGTTAGTACCGTGATGGGAGACCTCTGGAACACCAGGTGCCACAGTGGGGCGGCTGCCAAACTGCCTGCGGTCCTTTGGCAAGACACTTCACCCAAATGAAGTGAGTCTGGTGTGTGTGTGTGTGAATGTTTGGTAGTCAGAGGGGCTGATGGCACATTCTGGTTACCTCGCTTCTGTCATTGTGCCCCAGGACAGCTGTGGCTACAGTAGTAGTTCATTTCCACTGTATATGGAGTGAACGAATATCTTTGAGTGTCCAAAAAAGCGCTATATAAAACCAGAGCGCTCAATAAAGACAACACTTACCTTCTCTTTTAAGCATGTAGCAGTAGAACAATTATGAAGTAAACTCAAGTAAACAATTCCATTTTGCACCCAATATTTAAAGTTTAGGCAAAATACCTGAAAATTGTGTGGATGCTTCCCTTAGAGCCTGATGCTCCTGCTTTGATTGAGAGGGATTGACGTTTAAGAGAAAACAAAATTGGCAAAGGTCCTTGCGCTAATTGCAGAAAGGTGGGTCCGCTGCGGTAGCACATGTGACTCACAGATGCCAGCTTTAATTGCTTATGTGAAAAACAGCGTTTTGAATGTGGTCACTGGGATGAAACCTGGAGCTCGCAAATCTTAAACAAGGAACTTCACAGGCAGGTTTTTTTTCATCTGAGCGTTTGTTTACAACGATACGAATGGAAAATAATCAAAGAATATGTGTTACCATTTGCAGCAGCACCACCCCCGCTGTACTCAGCCACTGCAGAGGTGAAGTACTTTTACTTAATGCTACCTAACTTTTTTCTGGCCATAATTAATGCTTTGTGTTTTAGCTGTGATTAATCAGACCACACGCAATAGTTACTACTGTGAGAACTTTTCTTCTTTAAGTATTCATATACAGTACATTGTCCACACAGAGAGTCTTTTCAAAGTAAAATAAGTACAAGTGAGACTTACAATATGACATGCATTTTGTAAGAAAGAGCTCTATGAGTCACTATTTGACTCTTTGGGATGAAAGCTGATTGGCTTAGAGAGGGTGGTCCCCTTTTACCCTTTTCTGTTTGAAGAATCTGAGCTGAAGATG